GCTGCATCAGTGCGTGACATGCACTCGGTGGAGGGCTGCCACTCCGCAACCGAAAATGGGAAACCTTCCTCCAAGAAGAGTGACTCCTGCACGACCATTTCTTCACGTGGGCATCGACTACGCCGGGCCTATTTTCATCAGGACGAGCAAAGGGCGTGGGCACAGCGCTCACAAAGCGTTCATCGCAGTCTTTATTTGTTTTAGCTCCAAGGCCATTTACCTTGAGGCTGTTTCAGCATAGACCACCGACGCCTTTCTGGCTGCTCTCCGTCGATTCTCGCCGAGGACTTTGCACGGACATCTACTCCGATTGCGGCACCAATTTTTGGGGCGCCGACCGGCAACTTCGAGAGATGCTCCGAGCCTCCTCGTCAGAAGGACGAAAGATCGCACACGTCGCTACATCAGAGGGGATCCATTGGCATTTTAACCCCCCTTCGGCACCACATTTTGGTGGACTCTGGGAGGCGGCCGTGAAATCTGCCAAGTATTACCTGCGCCGAACCATCGGCGAAACCAGGCTCACCTTCGAAGAAATGAGCACCCTGCTTGCACAAGTGGAGGCATGCCTGAACTCCTGGCCCATGCATGCCCTCTCAGATGACTCCGATGACCTCGCGGCTCTGACACCAGGTCACCTGCTCATCGGGGCACCACTGCTAGCCATTCCCGAGCCTTCCTTGTCGGACAAGAAGGAAAGCTTGCTTTCCAGGTGGCAACTTGTCCAGCGGATGCGAGACCACTTCTGGCAGAGATGGTCACGCGAGTACTTACACACTCTGGCTACCAGACCGAAATGGACCAAGGACGCTTTGCCACCACGCATTGGATCGCTATGCATCATTCGTTCCGAGCTCTCACCGCCAAATAAGTGACCACTGGCACGGATCACGCAGATACATCCTGAAGACGACGGCGTAGTGCGAGTGGTCACATTCAAACCAGCCTCATCCGAATTAATTCGTCCTTTAGTCAAATTAGTTCTATTGCCAGAAGATGCTACCGCGTTTATCTCGCAATGCATCGAATGTCGAAACGGAGAGCTTGAATTGATCGCCTGTACGTTCGTGAATCATTGCTTCAATTGTATTTTATCATATAACTCTCGTTTACAGCTCAAGCTCTTCCACGGAATTATTGTATTGTATCGCTTGTCTTATGTACGCGTTTACTGTTTTTTTTATTGTAATCTCAATGCGTTCATCGCATCGCAAGTACCTACGCAAGTACGTGTGCTCCGACGTGCTGTGTCATACACGTGTCCTCAGGTTGAAAGTCCGAAACAGCAAGTATAACGAAATTATTTGCGTAAATCAAATGTTCGCTCTCTTAAAAGAAATTTGCAGTAATCACTTTCGATCGAACAAGCATCGCCCGAGGTAACTTTTATACATATATCGTCACGGAGATGACGAGGCGGGCGGGAATGTTTGAGATCGTTAATTCGGGAAAAGCAAGAATTCTTTCAGTCGACCGACAGTAATTGTCATTGAACGCACGCATGAAGTGAGCTCGTGATTTCATCTCGAGCATGATCTTAGTTCTGGTTAAAATCATCGATTTGGCATTCTTTGTTCTTTTAAATCAATTCGGTACACACAAACAAGCTCCGGCAACGGACAATCGAAAGTTCTAGAACAATTCAATTCGCGCACGCGAGCGCGCGAATTTGTAACTGTGCATATTAAAGAAAATTCTTTTGTTAAATCACAAAGAAACGGAGTTCTCTTTACTGTCGTGTATCATATCCACCGTGTGCCGTTCTCTCACTCGAATCTTTCCGCGCGGTGCATTCCCGCACAATTAAATAACAAGAAATTGATTCGATCTTTCAAAATTACATTAAATTCGCTTTTGTGCCAAATTCCAGCTTAATATTTTTATGCTGATCAATATTTTTAGGAAAAATTCAATACTCAAATTTGTCACATAGTCCCAATTTTTAGAAAATTGAGCCCTCTCTTCCTCCCGACTCGCGAGCGCCACCGACTGGCGTCTATATAAACGTGGCAAAAATCGAATTTCACGATTATTTTTTATTTAGCCGAATCTTTGTCCGGATCGGGACTTGTCGAAGAGCAGAAAATTTGGAATATCTCGCAATATAATATAATTCTCAAGAAAAAAAAGTACCCACCGCGTCGATAGATAAATTGCTTTTCTATAGAATGACAAAGAAAGATAACCGCGCAGGTAGGCGGGTGAAGGTCACTAGAATATATCAAAGATTGAACGCCCCTTTGAAATACGCGCCTTATGACCTATGTCTCTCGTCAGGCCCCTCTAAAGTCCCTAAAATACTGCGGCGACCCCCTCGAGTCATCTCAAACGTCTCCGTCAATAATTGGACAATAATCCGTGTGCCAGTATTATATGATACGTATTAATAAATGTGAATACTTATTTTGCGTTATATTCACTTTTCTTTCAATCCACTCTTTTCTCCTTTCCTAAATGGTACGAAATGATGAAACGCTTGAATTATTTGGATCTGTGATAAATTTCCTTATTAAATAAATTATCGTTTCCATTTCTCAGAGGTACTAATGCCAAAATCAAATTTAATGAATACTCAAAATTCTGAATATAATAATCAATTGTGCTCAGACAATTTTGTATTGATTTATAAAAATATAAAATTTCAATATGACAATTTAAATTAATATTAATTCTCAATAAATTCTATTCAATCTATAATAATATTCCTATATTAAAGAAACCTGTAATATGCGATACGCCTATGCTTGAAGTCTTACGATTTGCCGCTCGGCCTGAGATTCGCTTCCACTCTGATCGTATTTCCTCTAGTCTAATAAATAATTCCGCCATTCCTAGTCACGCTCACGCGTCGCTTACCGTCTGTCTCTCTACTCCTAATCCAGCGACGTGACGAATATAACGCAATCTTTCTATCCTCGCGCAATTTCAATTCTCACGCATAAGAAAAAATAAAATGTTACATCGCTGGTCATAATAATATTGTTAGGAGATTGTTCTACCTGAGAATTCCACTCGGGACTCTTCCTCGTTGTTAGTCACATTCGTTGTCGAAGTTGAAGGAGATTTGTGATTCTCATTATGAGAAACATTCAACATCGCGGACGCCGTCTCGGTAATTTTGGTATTGATTATATCTTTGGTAACTGTGATTTTCGAACATTTCGATGAATCTTGGAACTTGTCGGATTGGCCAGCACGAGAAGATGGATCAGGACTATTGTTGTTGCTGCTATTAACGTTGCTGTGTTGGGATACTGGTTCATTAAACAAGTTCTGAGCATCAGTAGCAATCTTCTTGGACACATCCATAATAGTTTTCTCAGGATTTGTCAATTCGCTGTTATACGAATAAATTTGATGAATTTGCTATTGATTTGTTGACTGAATCATTGCGCCAAAGAAATTCATTTCCTGTTAACAATTAAATCAATTTGCTAAACTTACTTCATATGGACTTCTTCTACAAGTTGAACGTGTCTCGATTGAAGTGGAGGGCTAGTCGCTGCATCACACGAGAATTCACAGCTGCTAAGGATCTTTCGTCTGAGCACATGATTTTCGAGGGCTAAACGACTCACCACATCAACGTAGCTCTCGTCGCAAAAATTCCCGATACTCTCTTGCAGTCGTCGGAGTTCCTCGCGCGATGAGTCCAGAGCCGAGCGCAGTGACACGACTGTCTACACCATGAAGACAAATCGTAGAAACTTTTTATTTTAATGACAGGTGTGTAGTAATAAAAAATTCCAACCTTATATGTTTCAATGATTTCGTTAAATATATAATCTACAGCAGATAATTGAATCAAATACACTTCTTTTGATTCAAATATGTACTACAGTTAGAATTTAATTTTAAAAAGTTTAAAATCTCTGCAATAAGAAATGATTATGATTCAAAATCTAAAATCTAAAAAAAATTTCAAAAAGTTTATATGTGAGTCCCTAACAGAGTCCTGTAACAGAGTCTGATTACGAGATAACAAATTTTTGATTGTTGTTTTTGTTAACTTCAGTAGATTAATAAAATAACATAAAAAGAGATAGAAGAATATAAAAAGAGATATTTCTTAGAACTTTCTTAGGATGTCCAATTATATTATCTGAATAATCAATTCAAGGATTTCAGGAAAAAATCCTGGTTCTTCCAGGTTAAAAACAATAAAAATCTCATTAGATTGTACATTTGAAAACTCAATAAATAGGAAATACTAGCCAAAACGATCAAAGCAAGATCTTTTAATATTTAAATAATTCAATATGAATTATATACTAGAGAGCCTCATAGGGAGAGAGTGGCAATTGCATCACATGTCTTGGTCTCCTCTGATTGGACGCAGTCATCAAAGCTTTATAGGACATTCATGGGTGCAGCAATTAGTTCGAATAGATTAGAGAAGAGTTGAAAAAGTAACAGTTTGTCATTTTTTTTACAACTGATCAAGTCTTTATAAATGATACAAATTATTATATCTTAGAAGTATATACCTTCCTCTATTGTACATATAAACATGAAATAAACGAATTATAGATATTTTTATATTACAAAATGTCTATCAGGTGCAATACTCCGAGATGCACAAAAATTCCAATGAAAAATACTGCTGTTAAGATTTAATCAAGATCCTAAATTGAAAAAATGTATTGATGCTATCGGAATTCCTGATTAGAAACCTTCAAAATCAGTTATACTATGTTAGTACTAAAATATGCATATAAATGTTTTATACTATAACTCCCGTAAACACCAACAAAAATAACGTCAATGTTATAATGTTTCACTCAATATCAATATATTAAATTCAATATAATGCGAGTGTATGTAACAGTTACATAATTGCGTGAAAAATTATAATATATTACGTTGATAAATGTTGGTGGGATAGATATTTTTCTCTAACATATATCTCTTATTTTAAATTAATTTCTATTTATCAGAATTATTCCGCACAAAAAATTATAAGGAAAGATGTCATACTAAGTTTGTTTTGTCTGTCCCATCAATTATCATTAACATAAATCAATATGTTATAATTTTTCACGCAACTGTAATCGTTACATAAGTACACTCGCATTATATTGAATTTAATTTATTAATATTAAATAAGAAATTATAACATCGATGTTATTTTTGTTGGTGTTTACGGCAATTATAGTATAAAAATTAATATAATAATAGAAATTTAAAATGTCTATTACAATCGAAGTTAGATCTTCATTGCTTTAAATAATTCAATCTTGAATTACTATATACACTATATATGTACTTGCATATATATCGTAGTCTTTTTAAATTGCGCGCCGAATTGTTTTTCCGGACTTATAAACGCAATTAAAACTATTCTAGTAATCACGAAATTGATAAGCAATTTTAATAATTTGATGCTATCATCAAGCATCATATTATATTATAAAGATGTTAATCTGTTGAAACTGTTAATAAATTTATTGTAAAAAATATTACTTCGGCTTGAACCCGGATCACTTATATTCCGTACGAGCGTCCTAAGATATTAGACCAGCCTCGATAGTCACATGAATAATTTCAAAAATTATATCGATCAAAAACTACGCCAGTTTCTTGCGAATCAAGTTTATAAACACGATATATAACACCCATAGAAAATCGTAAACAATTAATATCTTGTAAATTATCGCGTTTTGATGAGATTTATATTATTTGGGATTAATGGGAGGGGCACATGATTACAATTTATTAAAAGTTACATATTATCCAGATTGGTCCTTATCGATGCACGTCGAGCGGCCGAGGAAGCATCTTCGGTCGCTTGAAATAAGCGCCCAGCGAGAAATATTGCTCTTTTCTACCGCCCGAAGTTGACCGAATCGCGACACAGACATGGGCTCATGTCTTTGTGTGTGTCATGACAGTGATTCGCCGCCGTTTGCCGCCGTACCCCCTCCACATGACGTAAAATGTAAACGAGCCTAATCTGACATCACTGAACAGGGGTGATTCGTTAAAGGTGAAGAAATTGTCAGAGGACGAGAGAGATAGGTTGCAAAAATCACATACAAATTAATAATGAAATATTAAGTGTATGACTTTGTTCATTCAGTTTTCGTATAGATTTTAGCGGTAAGTGATGATCGAAATAAATAGATCATAGACGTCACACAATAAACTTGAGCATCTGTCAACATAATCCCATTAGAAACATTAGTCGATTTGTGTCTGCATCATAAAGTTATTCTCGATTGAAAATGTCAGTTTACGAGCCAAATTCTTGTCATTTGCGGGAGGTTTTAATTTTCTGCTTCAATATGAAGAAATCTGCGGCTGAGGCTCATCGAATGCTTTCAAATATTTATGGTGAAGCCGCTATTAGTGAAAGAACGTGTCATAAGTGGTTTCAACACTTCAAGAACGGTGATTTTCACATCGAAAACCAGCATAGCGGTGGAAGAGAGAAGGTTTTCGAAGATGCAGAATTGAAGGCATTACTTGATTAAGACTCTTGTCAAAATCAAAAAGAATTGGCACGATCATTAGGAGTGACTCAATCAGCCATTTCAAAACGTCTCAAAGCCATGGAAATGATTCAGAAGCAAGGAAATTGGATGCCGTACGAGTTGAAGCCGAGAGATGTTGAACGACGTTTGTTTGCTTGTGAACAGCTGCTTGAAAGGCAAAGACGGAAGGGCTTTCTGCATCGCATTGTGACTGGGGGCGAAAAATGGGTTCATTACGATAATCCCAAGCGCAGAAAATCATGGGGAATTCCCAGCCATGCTTCCACGTCGACGGCCAAACCGAATATTCACGATTCCAAGATCATGCTCTGTATTTGGTGGGACCAGCTCGGCGTAATATATTATGAGCTGTTAAAACCGACTGAAACAATCACAGGCGATCAGTATCGAACGCAATTGATGCGTTTGAGCCGAGCATTGAAAGACAAACGGCCGCAATACAACGAGAGACACGATAAAGTGATTTTGCAGCATGACAATGCTCGACCCCATGTTGCGAAAGTGGTCAAGACATACTTGGAAACGTTGAAATGGGAAGTCCTACCCCACCCGCCGTATTCTCCAGACGTTGCTCCCTCTGACTATCACTTGTTTCGATCAATGGCACACGACCTGGCTGACCAGCACTTCCGGTCTTATGAAGAAGTAAAAAATTGGATCGATTCGCCTCAAAAGATGACCAGTTTTTTCGACACGGGATTCGTATGCTGCCAGAAAGATGGGAGAAAGTAGTGGCCTGCGATGGACAATACTTTGAATCATAAATGTATAACCAGTTTTTTACAATAAAGCCTCAAATTTCGGAAAAAAACCGCATGAGCAAAGTCATACTCCTTATAAATAACAATTATATTTAATGAATCGAATTACAATCAATATCCGAAGCTTCGCTCCCTAAACCGGATTGGATAAAATCTACTTCCGCGGGCGAAAACGATGACTTACTTTTAATGCCGATTCAACGATCATACTTTACACCATGAGATCTTAATTCTCCGAACAATCCGAGATGGCGAAGGTTCAACAACCAACTATTTACATCCGTCGATAGCGTACAATAATATATGTTTGGAACAAAGAACATTACTTGCGAGGGCAATCTCGAATTCGAACGATAATCCGAGTACACTCACACGATCCAATTAGAGTGCGTTCTTTTAAGCATCGGATACAGCAGTTCTTGCAGTAATTCGTTCTTTTAACACAACTGCGCAGTCGACTGCAGTGCAGATTTTTATTTTTTGACAATGGATGCGCAGTGGATACGCAGACGATTAGAATTAATTGTGTAGCCGGCTATGGATCTAGTGTGGTCATAAAAAGAGCGGCAATATAAAGAGTTGCAAGAGAAATTTATTAAAATGAGCGATGAAAACGTATATTTTTATGCTGGAGTGTCGCCATCAGGTGAAAAACAACTATTTACCATCGACGCTTCAAAAATACAAGAGTTTCTGATGGATCGTAAGTTTTGAATTGCGAATGTAATTTTATTGTATGTAAATTTTATATGTAATGTTTTATATGTATTGTTTATTCTTTCGATCCAACTAATGTGAAGGATGTACAAATGTCTCTTGCTGGCAAGAATCTTATTTTCAATGCCAAGAAATCAATCGTATTGGAATCTGGAGATACATACACATAATGAGATTTTAGATTTTATTTATTTTTAAGTTATTGGATATCTTAAAAATGAACGATTTGCTTTGCTTTAAGTGATGACAAATGTACTTTCTTAATTGTGCATTATTTCGTGAAATATTATTAAAATTATAGATAATTATAGAATTGTACATTTATATGCAAAATAAAGGTTGATGTATTAGAAGTACAAATTAGTTCGATCCGTTTTTTGTGTTCAAAAATGCATTTATTTCAAAACAAAATGAATGAACAGATTAATTAAAGTATTGTGCATCACTGGCTATTATTATTTCCCATCTCTCAGGCAATTTTCGAATTTCATCTCGAAAAAATGACTCGTCTTTGGAGGCGATCCAATTTTGGAGCTAATTTTCAATTTCTGCGAAAGAAGTGAACCGGTGACTTGCCAAATCGTGCTTCATCCTTCGGAATAACCAGTAATCAGAAGGAGCAATGTCTGGAGAATACGACGGGTGCGGTAAAACATCCCATTTGAGCCTTTCCAAATATTTTTTTACGACTTTTGCGACATGAGGCCG